GAGAGACTAGAGATGGTGGCAGAGTGGATAGCACTCTGGCCTCTCAGCAAGAAGGTCCTGGGTTCGAATCCCGGTCGGACCAGGGCCTTTCTGAGTGGAGTTTGCATGTTCTCCCCGTGTCTGCGTAGGTTTCCTCCGGGTGCTCCGGTTTCACCTACCACTAAAAACATGTCCAATAGTTCTGGCATGCGCCTCCTGTACTGGCGACCCTGCTCCCATCTCTGTGTGGAGTGAGAGACAAATGCCCAAAAAATAAAAAACAATTGTAAACCGCTTTGAGACTCAGATCTGCAGTGAAAAGGCGGTATATAAATAAAGATTACTACTACTACTATTACTACAGAGAGAGAGACCAGAGAGAGACCAGAGAGAGACCAGAGAGAGAGACCAGAGAGAGACCAGAGAGAGACCAGAGAGAGACCAGAGAGAGAGACCAGAGAGAGACCAGAGACCTGACAAGGACAGATATATTTACATTTGAAATATACTGTTTAGCTCAGTGGTCTCAAACACGTGGCCCGTGAGCCATTTGCGGTCATGAAAAGGTATTGTGTGGCCCCCAATTAGAGTCTGCGGATGCTGTTAATTTGATCATGAACAAAAATGAAAAATAAAAACCTCATATTGCCACAAAATACATTGAATTGTATAAATGACTGTATGTGGCTTAAACCTGATTAGATTTCTGATTGTTGCTGCCTTTAAGTTGTGTGTGTTTTGTTATTTTCCTCTTCGTTTCAAAACAGAGAAATAAGAGTTTTTCTGTTTGAGTGTTTCCAGCGAGCCACAATATTGATGTTTGCTCAGGCGCAGATGTTCTATGGAGACAGAGGCGTCACTCGAGCTGCGATTATTTATGAACACTGTGTGACGAGCTAATGCTAATCCTGTCAGCTCACCTGCACCGTCCGCATTTACATCAATAATTACTGTGTTCAGCTGCAAACGAGGCTGTCAGCTGTCAGGACCCAGGAAAGACCAGCACTGGACCAGGACTGAAGCTGTAGACCCAGGACTGAGGCTGTAGATCCAGGACTGAGGCTGTAGATCCAGGACTGAGGCTGTAGATCCAGGACTGAGGCTGTAGATCCAGGACTGAGGCTGTAGATCCAGGACTGAGGCTGTAGATCCAGGACTGAGGCTGTAGATCCAGGACTGTAGCTCTTAGCAATAAACTCTCTGAAAGAAATTTATTATATTTCACTTAAGAAAATACCAAAACCAATGAATGACTAGAAATATGAATGAATGCTCCTCTAGTCTATGTTTCAGTGTGTCCGAGACTGCTCCTCATTGTTTTAGTGTGTTTTTGGGTCTGTCTTGTACCTTTACTCCTGCTTCCCCATCTTCTCCTCTCTCAGCATTCTCCACTGGTCTATGTTTTAGTGTGTTTTTAGGTCTTTCTTGTACCTTTACTCCTGCCTCCCCATCCCCTCCTCTCTCTTCTTCTCCTCCAGTCTGTGTTTTAGCCTGTGTGTTGTTAGCGCGTTAGCTCGTGGCTGTCAGACTCCTGCTGAGCTAAAGCAGCTCTTGTCAACCCTCCGTCAGACGCATGAATGAACCGCTGCCTTCGCTCGGGAAAATACTCAAATATGTCACGACTCTGTGCCACTACAGCGGGAGAGTACTGTGCTTTTAGAGAGACCCTCCACACCAGGCTTTTCTGGATCAAACCAGACGGAACAGAAGGAAATGTCTAGATCAGGATCACTACAGTGTGAGGAGGCAACCATACTCTCAGCACGACCAGCCGGCCAATCAGAGACATGCGTTTTAATGTATTTGTTTATTGTTAATTACTGTAAATCTGTATGTATACTGAGGGAGAGGTCTGTGTGTATACTGAGGGAGAGGTTTGTATACTGAGGGAGAGGTCTGTATACTGAGGGAGAGGTCTGTATACTGAGGGAGAGGTCTGTATACTGAGGGAGAGGTCTGTATACTGAGGGAGAGGTCTGTATACTGAGGGAGAGGTCTGTGTGTATACTGAGGGAGAGGTCTGTATACTGAGGGAGAGGTTTGTATACTGAGGGAGAGGTTTGTATACTGAGGGAGAGGTCTGTATACTGAGGGAGAGGTTTGTATACTGAGGGAGAGGTCTGTATACTGAGGGAGAGGTTTGTATACTGAGGGAGAGGTCTGTATACTGAGGGAGAGGTCTGTATACTGAGGGAGAGGTCTGTATACTGAGGGAGAGGTTTGTATACTGAGGGAGAGGTCTGTGTGTATACTGAGGGAGAGGTCTGTGTGTATACTGAGGGAGAGGTCTGTATACTGAGGGAGAGGTCTGTATACTGAGGGAGAGGTCTGTGTGTATACTGAGGGAGAGGTTTGTATACTGAGGGAGAGGTCTGTATACTGAGGGAGAGGTCTGTATACTGAGGGAGAGGTTTGTATACTGAGGGAGAGGTTTGTATACTGAGGGAGAGGTCTGTATACTGAGGGAGAGGTTTGTATACTGAGGGAGAGGTCTGTATACTGAGGGAGAGGTTTGTATACTGAGGGAGAGGTCTGTATACTGAGGGAGAGGTTTGTATACTGAGGGAGAGGTCTGTATACTGAGGGAGAGGTCTGTATACTGAGGGAGAGGTCTGTGTGTATACTGAGGGAGAGGTCTGTATACTGAGGGAGAGGTCTGTATACTGAGGGAGAGGTCTGTATACTGAGGGAGAGGTCTGTACTGTATACTGAGGGAGAGGTCTGTATACTGAGGGAGAGGTCTGTATACTGAGGGAGAGGTCTGTGTGTATACTGAGGGAGAGGTCTGTATACTGAGGGAGAGGTTGGTATACTGAGGGAGAGGTCTGTATACTGAGGGAGAGGTTTGTATACTGAGGGAGAGGTCTGTGTGTATACTGAGGGAGAGGTCTGTATACTCAGGGAGAGGTTTGTATACTGAGGGAGAGGTTTGTATACTGAGGGAGAGGTCTGTGTGTATACTGAGGGAGAGGTCTGTGTGTATACTGAGGGAGAGGTCTGTATACTGAGGGAGAGGTCTGTATACTGAGGGAGAGGTCTGTATACTGAGGGAGAGGTCTGTATACTGAGGGAGAGGTCTGTATACTGAGGGAGAGGTCTGTACTGTATACTGAGGGAGAGGTCTGTATACTGAGGGAGAGGTCTGTACTGTATACTGAGGGAGAAGTCTGTATACTGAGGAGAGGTATATACTTCTCTTCGTGGCACGGTAGCTGAGTGGAGAACACTCTCGCATCTCGGCAGGAAGGTCCTGGGTTCAATTCCTGGTCAAAACAGGGCCTTTCTGAGTGGAGTTTGCAAGTTCTCTCAATGTCTGCATAGGTTTCCTCCGGGTGCTCCGGTTTCCCCTACCGCTAAAAACATGCACACTAAATAAAAACCTCCAGCTCCGGTCCTGACCAAGCCGAGTACCAACATCTGGAGGTGGGTTCCTGGGCGCTGTGCAACGGCGACCACTGGTCCTGCCTTAGTGGTATCAGGATGGGTCAAATGCAGAGGGTCAGTTGCCCTTCAGGGATATGTGAAGTGCACATTTGCATGTTCTCTTGTCTCAGTATACAGATCTATCAATCAACCTAAATATGTATACTGAAAAGTATGTATACTGAGAAGGAGAGGTCTGAGCAGCTTCCATACAAACTTGATGATTGACAGCCTCCCCTCCCTACTCTCTCTCTACCCCTTCTCCCCTCTCCTCCCCTTCTTTCCTCTCTCCCCCTCTCCTCTCCCTATCCTCTCTTCCTCCTCCTAAGCCTCCCCCTCCATACTCCCCCCCCCTCTTTTCTCCCCCGCTGGGCCTGCCTCAGTCCTGTCAAAGTAAGAGCCCTTTGTAGCCGCTGACAGCTTAAATCAACCCCTTCAAAATAAAATCCGCACTTTACCGGTGGAACAAAGGAGGCGCTGTGACCCTGTTTGACGAAAACATTTGGAAATAGAAAGCGAAAGGCGGAGAACTGGTGAGCGGAAAACAGGATAAAAGCTTTTTATACAGAGAGAGCTCTTTGGACATGTCATTCTCTCTGCAACTTAAAGAACACCTACTCTGCTGCTAACACACATACTAACACACATACACACACACTTACACATACACGTACTGTACACATACACGTACTGTACACATACACATACACGTGGGCATTCTGTGTAAGGTGCCTCAATATTGATCTGAAAAGACTGAGACATGAGAAGCTTGGACGTTTACTGGAACTGAATTTCATTTCAGACAAAACAAGGCTATTATTAGAATTGTACATTGGTTGGTGAGTGTTATAACACTACATAAAATGCACATACGACTTTGAGGACTTTATTATCAGGATTACATATATTGCTGCTGTACAGACTGTTCAAACTTTTAACTAATACTGACTAGAATTTGAGATGATAAATGAGGTATAACATCAGCATGTATACATACAGTATACAACACTGGAACAAGGCAGAGATGGGGAGGAGGAGGGTCGCGGCGTGAATGAAGCTGCTGCTTGGATGGAGCTTTGTCGCAATATGAAGACGATGCGGGTGGTGCCTCAGTGCTCCTAGGTGAGGGTAGTGTGGCGCTGCACCTCAGTGTGATTGACTGATGCTGTCGCCATTGGCGACAGTGGGAGGACCTACTTTAGCTCCATGTTGACCACTATCTCAAAAATATCTTGGATTTGACTTGGATTTTGGCAGGCCATAACAAGGCAAAACGTGGGGATTTCAAAAGTATTTATACAGCATAATATAAGTATAATGAAAGCTGTTCTGTGAGGCGTCAGGTTTGTGTTCAGAGTGTGGTGGTCACTAAACAGCATCATGGAGGTCAAGGAGACACCAGAGAGATTAGAGGTCAGGGATGAAATCCCTGATATCCCGGAAAGGAACAGCACTTCTTATCGGTAAATACTATTGGAGCAGATGTGTTCTCTGAATAAAATACTGTCTAATTTAAGTGTAAATACAATGTACATTACTAATCTTTGTCCAGAGCCAAATATTATCCATGTTTCTAACGACTCAAAAACTTTCTCCAGATGCAGCAGAACACACAGAGCGTCAAGTTGTTTTTCTGGATGGTTCCCACGACACCGGCAGCGTTTCTGTCTCTGGTCTTTTTCCACCTCACAGTTTGGTCCTGGAATCTCTCCAGCACCCCCTGTCAGTCACCGGCTGCACTGCGTCATCAACAGCCGCTGTAAGTCCAGTAGATCTCTGCATGTGAGGCTGTAGATGAAATTAATATTTAATTTACACATTCATTAAACCCAAAAAGATCCAGGACTGAGGCTGTAGATCCAGGACTGAGGCTTTATATGCTAAGATAAAAAAAAGCTGAGGTCAGGGGTCCAATCATTGCGAAGGGAAGCTCGAGTTTCCCCTCTTCAATGAAGGCCTCTGATTGGTTGATCCTAGATATGGCTCATATCCAGACATGTCTAAGACAATATCCCAATGTAAACATCAGGATCCCAGAAAGCACTAAACCACAGATTAAACAACATTATGATGAGTGTGACACAAACGGTTCATGAGCTACAGGACTTTACTCTTACACAGAAGTCAATAGGAGCCAGAAAGAGTTCCCTATTTGGTTCATGGAGCCGGTAGGTTGTTCTTGTTTATCTGTATACAGTGTGTGTTAGCATTAGCATCTGTATACAGTGTGTGTTAGCATTAGCATCTGTATACGTACACTTTAGTGGCTTGTGTGTAGTTTTAAAACCTCTCTCTCTGAGCTGTGAGGAGGAGAGTTCTTACTTTGTGAACAGAGACTTTTGATGAAAACAAGTTTGTTTGACTGTCCTCAAACTCGGAGTGAAGTGGCAGATGTGTCCAGCTCTAGTTTGGCTGCGAACTGTGGATTCACATCAAACAACAGCAACGTAAAGTGAAAGTAAACAGCTTCACACGTCCGGCTGGCGGAGCTCGCACACATCTGTCCCAGAGTTCCACCAACGCCACGGCAACAGCAGCTGTCACTCACACAGAACCACCATGTCTCAGGCATTCTGTATTATTCAGATTAAGATTAAGATTAAGTGATCCTTTACTCGTCTCACAGTGGGGAAACGTCAGTGTTTTGCTTCACCAGTTACAGAACATTAGGAAAGAAGAGGACACAGCACAAGATAAAAGAATAATGTATCTATACAAAAATAAAATAAAATCTCTGGCTTTAGCATAATAAAGAAGCAATTGCAACATCTTTCTTTGCTGGGACCAGCAGGAGATCAGTCCCTGTGCTCCTCAGAGTCCCAGGTGGAGGCCAGTCCCTGTGCTCCTCAGAGTCCCAGGTGGAGGCCAGTCCCTGTGCTCCTCAGAGTCCCAGGTGGAGGCCAGTCCCTGTGCTCCTCAGAGTCCCAGGTGGAGGCCAGTCCCTGTGCTCCTCAGAGTCCCAGGTGGAGGCCAGTCCCTGTGCTCCTCAGAGTCCCAGGTGGAGGCCAGTCCCTGTGCTCCTCAGAGTCCCAGGTGGAGGCCAGTCCCTGTGCTCCTCAGGGTCCCAGGTGGAGGCCAGTCCCTGTGCTCCTTAGGGTCTAAGGAGGAGGCCAGTCCCTGTGCTCCTCAGAGTCCCAGGTGGAGGCCAGTCCCTGTGCTCCTCAGAGTCTCAGGTGGAGGCCAGTCCCTGTGCTCCTCAGAGTCCCAGGTGGAGGCCAGTCCCTGTGCTCCTCAGGGTCCCAGGTGGAGGCCAGTCCCTGTGCTCCTTAGGGTCTAAGGAGGAGGCCAGTCCCTGTGCTCCTCAGAGTCCCAGGTGGAGGCCAGTCCCTGTGCTCCTCAGAGTTCCAGGTGGAGGCCAGTCCCTGTGCTCCTCAGAGTTCCAGGTGGAGGCCAGTCCCTGTGCTCCTCAGGGTCCCAGGTGGAGGCCAGTCCCTGTGCTCCTTAGGGTCTAAGGAGGAGGCCAGTCCCTGTGCTCCTCAGAGTCCCAGGTGGAGGCCAGTCCCTGTGCTCCTCAGAGTTCCAGGTGCAGGCCAGTCCCTGTGCTCCGCAGAGTCAGAGTTGGTTCATATTTAACCTGACCTGCTTTAGTCCAGGTTCAGTCCTGCTTCAGACCTTTAGACTTGCTTTAGACCTGCTTTAGACCTTCTTTAGACTTCCCTCAGACCCGGCCTGGAGCTGATTGTGGTGAAGAGGTCTTTGTCAAGTCCTGGTCTGGTTTTAATGAGGAGGAAGTGTTCTGTGGAGAGGACACTCAGAGCGGGACAAAGGAGACAAAGACGGAGACATGGAAGGAGACGGCACAAAGCCCGCTGAGCCTGCGTTAGTTTAACCTCGTCATGCCTCGCAGGGGGCCGCCGTGGCAATTAGCAGGCCAAAGCACGAATTTGGACACGATTCTGCAAACACACGGGAAAATATTTGAACTAAAGACTCACGCGGACGAAAACAAAAGTGCAGCGGGGCTAAACAGAGACTTGCACCGGTGTGAATGAAGAACACAGCCATTCTCTGTCAGTCAGAATGGTTTCATCTGAGGTAAAATGCCTCACGCTGACGTCTCTGAACCGAGACGGAATAAAGGAACTCATTCAACAGACAAGACTTCCACAAAAGTATACTAGAAAATGTTTAGTTCTGGTTTAGTCCTGGTTTAGTCCTGGTTTAGTCCTGATTTAGACCTGTTTTCGTCCTATTTTAGGGCCTGTTTTATTTGAGGGTGGTGTTTCTCAAACACCGTCTTTGGGTAAATGAAGATTTATTGACTAAATCAAGACAAAAACGCAATAAATCCCCAAAAAAGAAAGAACCTAACCACTTGAATCTAGAATTAATTAAAACCAGGACCAGAGCAAGACCAAGACCAAGACCAAGACCAAGACCAAGACCAAGACCAAGACCAAGACCAAGACCAAGACCAAGACCAAGACCAAGACCAAGACCCAGACCCAGACCAAGACCCAGACCAAGACCAAGAATAGGTCCTTTTCTGTCTGAGAAAGCTGCTCTAAAGATGTGACATAGACCAAAACCACATGCATATGAAATGTAGTTATTGAAGTAAACGTTGTCGTGGTTTAAATACAGGTACCTCAGCTTTAATAAATCCACACCAAACCCATAATGAAACTTTCCCACCAGGACTTCACACATATTTTCTGTCATATTTGGAAAAGACCCGGAAAATCTCTCTATTATAAGGGGTTAATAAGAAAAAAACAAGCATTGACAAAACCTATGAATATACAAACGGCTGGAATGATCTGTGGTGGACTGACAGCCTCCCCCCTCTCACCCCTCTCACCCCTCTCACTCCTCTCCCCCCTCTCACTCCTCTCCCCCCTCTCCCCCCTCTCCTCCCTCTCACCCCTCTCACCCCTCTCACCCCTCTCCCCCCTCTCACTCCTCTCCCCCCTCTCACTCCTCTCCCCCCTCTCCCCCCTCTCCTCCCTCTCACCCCTCTCACCCCTCTCCCCCCTCTCCTCCCTCTCACCCCTCTCCCCCCTCTCCTCCCTCTCACCCCTCTCCCCCCTCTCTCACCCCGGGGGCCGAGCTGTCCCGCCGGCCCGCTCTCAGGCGTTGTCTTTGTGGGGAACATGCTCTCTGTTTGTCGCCCGATAGACTTCCCCATTCAGGGCCTTTTCCAACGACCTGTCCGCGCTCACAATACCCCCTGCACCCCCAAACCCCTCACCCCTGTCTCCCCCCCCTCCTCCCCCCCGCGGGAGTTTGTTTAACACATTGGGCCCAAAGAAAACCAGCAGAGGGCCTAAAGAAAACGTGACATTAGGGCCATTATCCGAGCCGGTGTTAGCGCACAGAGACGCTAATTGAAGCTAATGTTTGCCTAATTGGGACCCTAGGGTAGGGGGAGGGAGGGGTGAGGGGGGGCGAAGGGGTGAGGGGGAGACAGGGTTTTGAGATCCTCTTTTTTTTCGATTCCACTTTTCTTTGGATTCGTTCACACCTCCGACAAAGGAAGACGCTTTCTCACACTTTTGCTTTGACTTGACCCTCGTGAACCCCCCACACTCCCCCCTGGACCAGACCTGGTTTATTCCTGATTTAGACCTGGTTTAGACAAGGTTTAGTCCTGGTTTGGACCTGCTTTGTCCTGGTTTAGGCCTGATTCAGACCAGGTTTAGTCCTGGTTAAGACTTGGTTTAGTCCTGGTTTAGTCCTGGTTAAGACTTGGTTTAGTCCTGGTTTAGTCCTGGTTAAGACTTGGTTTAGTCCTGGTTTAGTCCTGGTTTGGACCTGGGTCAATCTCATGTACGTGAGTGCTTCAGAGGCCTCAGCCACAGGCCTGGGGTCCTTCAGACATGTGAGATCACTGGTCTGCCCTCTCTGGTCATGGTGTGTAGCTGGAGTGTTTTTGGTCAAAGGTCAAAGGGCTCCTCCTGCTGTGCAGGACACAGGAAGACAGAACAAAAACTGCATTTTGTTATTTCAATAAAATACAAATATATTATTTATTTAAAACAAACACGCCCTCCACGACAGACCGGTTTATGCACCAAACAACAATCAAATATATTCTCTCTCCTACAGGCTTAGTCCTGGGTCTACAGGCTCAGTCCTGGGTCTACAGCCTCAGTCCTGGGTCTACAGGCTCAGTCCTGGGTCTACAGGCTCAGTCCTGGGTCTACAGCCTCAGTCCTGGGTCTACAGGCTCAGTCCTGGGTCTACAGGCTCAGTCCTGGGTCTACAGGCTCAGTCCTGGGTCTACAGGCTTAGTCCTGGGTCTACAGCCTCAGTCCTGGTTCTACAGGCTCAGTCCTGGGTCTACAGGCTCAGTCCTGGGTCTACAGCCTCAGTCCTGGGTCTACAGCCTCAGTCCTGGGTCTACAGGCTCAGTCCCAAATCTACAAGATCAGTCCTGGGTCTACAGCCTCAGTCCTGGTTCTACCGGCTCAGTCCTGGGTCTACAGGCTCAGTCCTGGGTCTACAGGCTCAGTCCTGGGTCTAAAGGCTCAGTCCTGGGTCTACAGGATCCGGCCTGGGTCTACAGCCTCAGTCCTGGTTCTACAGGCTCAGTCCTGGGTCTACAGGCTCAGTCCTGGGTCTACAGGATCAGTCCTGGGTCTACAGCCTCAGTCCTGGTTCTACAGGCTCAGTCCTGGGTCTACAGGCTCAGTCCTGGGTCTACAGGCTCAGTCCTGGGTCTACAGGCTCAGTCCTGGGTCTACAGGCTCAGTCCTGGTTCTACAGGCTCAGTCCTGGGTCTACAGGCTCAGTCCTGGGTCTACAGACTCAGTCCTGGGTCTACAGGATCAGTCCTGGGTCTACAGCCTCAGTCCTGGTTCTACAGGATCAGTCCTGGGTCTACAGGCTCAGTCCTGGTTCTACCGGCTCAGTCCTGGGTCTACAGGCTCAGTCCTGGTTCTACAGGCTCAGTCCTGGGTCTACAGCCTCAGTCCTGGGTCTACAGGCTCAGTCCTGGGTCTACAAGATCAGTCCTGGGTCTACAGCCTCAGTCCTGGTTCTACCGGCTCAGTCCTGGGTCTACAGGCTCAGTCCTGGGTCTACAGGCTCAGTCCTGGGTCTACAGGATCCGGCCTGGGTCTACAGCCTCAGTCCTGGTTCTACAGGCTCAGTCCTGGGTCTACAGGCTCAGTCCTGGGTCTACAGGCTCAGTCCTGGGTCTACAGGATCAGTCCTGGGTCTACAGGCTCAGTCCTGGGTCTACAGCCTCAGTCCTGGTTCTACAGGCTCAGTCCTGGGTCTACAGGCTCAGTCCTGGGTCTACAGGCTCAGTCCTGGGTCTACAGCCTCAGTCCTGGGTCTACAGGCTCAGTCCTGGGTCTACAGCCTCAGTCCTGGTTCTACAGGCTCAGTCCTGGGTCTACAGGCTCAGTCCTGGTTCTACAGGCTCAGTCCTGGGTCTACAGGCTCAGTCCTGGGTCTACAGCCTCAGTCCTGGGTCTACAGGCTCAGTCCTGGGTCTACAGCCTCAGTCCTGGTTCTACAGGCTCAGTCCTGGGTCTACAGGCTCAGTCCTGGGTCTACAGGCTCAGTCCGGGGTCTACAGGCTCAGTCCTGGGTCTACAGGCTCAGTCCTGGTTCTACAGGCTCAGTCCTGGGTCTACAGGCTCAGTCCTGGGTCTACAGGATCAGTCCTGGGTCTACAGCCTCAGTCCTGGTTCTACAGGATCAGTCCTGGGTCTACAGCCTCAGTCCTGGTTCTACCGGCTCAGTCCTGGGTCTACAGGCTCAGTCCTGGGTCTACAGGCTTAGTCCTGGGTCTGCAGCCTCAGTCCTGGTTCTACAGGCTCAGTCCTGGGTCTACAGCCTCAGTCCTGGGTCTACAGCCTCAGTCCTGGGTCTACAGGCTCAGTCCTGGGTCTACAGGCTCAGTCCTGGGTCTACAGGCTCAGTCCTGGGTCTACAGGCTCAGTCCTGGGTCTACAGCCTCAGTCCTGGGTCTACAGGCTCAGTCCTGGGTCTACAGGAGCAGTCCTGGGTCTACAGCCTCAGTCCTGGTTCTACCGGCTCAGTCCTGGGTCTACAGGCTCAGTCCTGGGTCTACAGGCTCAGTCCTGGGTCTACCGGCTCAGTCCTGGGTCTACAGGCTCAGTCCTGGGTCTACAGGCTCAGTCCTGGGTCTACAGCCTCAGTCCTGGTTCTACAGGCTCAGTCCTGGGTCTACAGGCTCAGTCCTGGGTCTACAGGCTCAGTCCTGGGTCTACAGGCTCAGTCCTGGTTCTACAGGCTCAGTCCTGGGTCTACAGGCTCAGTCCTGGGTCTACAGGATCAGTCCTGGGTCTACAGCCTCAGTCCTGGTTCTACAGGATCAGTCCTGGGTCTACAGCCTCAGTCCTGGTTCTACCGGCTCAGTCCTGGGTCTACAGGCTCAGTCCTGGTTCTACAGGCTCAGTCCTGGTTCTACAGGCTCAGTCCTGGGTCTACAGGCTCAGTCCTGGGTCTACAGGATCAGTCCTGGGTCTACAGCCTCAGTCCTGGTTCTACAGGATCAGTCCTGGGTCTACAGCCTCAGTCCTGGTTCTACCGGCTCAGTCCTGGGTCTACAGGCTCAGTCCTGGGTCTACAGGATCAGTCCTGGGTCTACAGCCTCAGTCCTGGTTCTACAGGATCAGTCCTGGGTCTACAGCCTCAGTCCTGGTTCTACAGGCTCAGTCCTGGGTCTACAGCCTCAGTCCTGGTTCTACAGGCTCAGTCCTGGGTCTACAGGCTCAGTCCTGGTTCTACCGGCTCAGTCCTGGGTCTACAGGCTCAGTCCTGGTTCTACAGGCTCAGTCCTGGTTCTACAGGCTCAGTCCTGGGTCTACAGGCTCAGTCCTGGTTCTACAGGCTCAGTCCTGGGTCTACAGGCTCAGTCCTGGGTCTACAGGCTCAGTCCTGGGTCTACAAGCTTAGTCCTGGGTCTGCAGCCTCAGTCCTGGTTCTACAGGCTCAGTCCTGGGTCTACAGGCTCAGTCCTGGGTCTACAGCCTCAGTCCTGGGTCTACAGCCTCAGTCCTGGTTCTACTGGCTCAGTCCTGGGTCTACAGGCTCAGTCCTGGGTCTACAGGCTCAGTCCTGGGTCTACAGGCTCAGTCCTGGGTCTACAGGCTCAGTCCTGGGTCTACAGGCTCAGTCCTGGGTCTACAGGCTCAGTCCTGGGTCTACAGGATCAGTCCTGGGTCTACAGCCTCAGTCCTGGTTCTACAGGCTCAGTCCTGGTTCTACAGGCTCAGTCCTGGGTCTACAGGCTCAGTCCTGGGTCTACAGGATCAGTCCTGGTTCTACAGGCTCAGTCCTGGGTCTACAGGCTCAGTCCTGGGTCTACAGCCTCAGTCCTGGGTCTACAGGTTCAGTCCTGGGTCTACAGGTTCAGTCCTGGGACTGTGATGAGTGTGTGTGTCTCTCTCTCTCACAGCTTGTTTTGCACTAAGTCCTTGTAAATCCTCATTACCACGTTGTACCTGTCGGAGTCTCAGCTCTGTGTCTTTGTCTCACGTTTCCTGTGTTTACTAAACACATGAGCGCTCTCCAGTTCTGAGCCAGACTGAACCAGGCCCAAGTGGACTGACCCAGACTTAAGTGGACCACAAAGGACCTAAAGAGGCTCTGAGGAGGTGTGTGCGCTTGGCTGGCTCTGAATACTCTGGACCAGGTCTGGGCCAGGTCTCAGGGCTGGGCTGAGGTCTGATGAGGGGAAGTGCAGGACAAAGCCAGGGTCTTGCTGAGGTCAAAGGGCACTGATCCTGCGCCTTCACAGAGGATCATGTTATCATTGCCCAGGGTTTGTTCTTCTCGTGATATCTGCTGATTGCTAACTTGGTCTGAGTAGAGCCTACAGGGCTTTGATGTGACCAGGTACACCATGACAATAGGCTGTGTCCAGATGCTAATGCTAACATAGACTGTACCCGAGATGGAAGCATTAAATCTCTATCTTTAGAATAATAAAGTAGGTAAAGTAAAATTCTGTATCTTCTAGAACATAAATATAGTTGCGTGGACAGCGGCTGCGTGGGGTCTGCTGGTTCTATGATACACTTTCTGACTATATTGTACATGTGAGTTCAGTGTTCGTTCGTCCTCATTGTTTGTTGTACAGTCTGACAACAGCAGGAAAGACAGACCTGCAGTGTCACATTCTGATACGTGAAGTTCAAATGTTTATGTTTAATACAACAAAGGTTTACCTTCTGCTTCACTCCTCACCTCCTCTAATGTAAAGAGGGTCAGACCTCCCTCTTCCTCCCTCCCCCCCTTCTCCCCTCCTCTCCTC